ATTCGTCCTAAATTGAAGCTACTAATTAATACATATTGCTAATTTGGTTTACCTATTTAATATTGAATTCATCACACTATAAAAGTAGACATTCTAAACAGTGAGCATTGACTCTTCATAAAAACATTGTCCTCAAAAGGATTAGAATCTGCTGCAAAAGTCGGTGTTCGTATTATCCAGTAAGTATCCGAATAATAAATCTATTATAATACCAGAAAAGAATTTACATACAGGGTGTCCCAGAATGGGAGACCCAGTATAACTGAGAAGAAAGAACCTGGAAAATAATATTATAACTCGAAAAATAATGTTGGTATGCGATCTAGCCAAAAGCGATCTGATGATTGCATCTTTTAGATATTTGTGATTGGATTTTTACTGAGAATTGTAGCGACGCTCTTTGTCTTAGAACTGATACAAACAAGTTTTGTTCCTAAAACTCAGCGGTGACAAAAACTTAGTAAAAGACTACGAAGATGCGTATTTGAATTTTAATCTCAAATTGCAAATCTGTTTCTTAGGCTATATCAAGGTTTCCCAAACTGCGAGTTGAAAATTACAAGTTCTCGTCACAGTAAAAAAGTTTGGGAAGCTCTGGGCTAGTGTAGACGATTTATGGAGAGTAAAAAGAAGAAAGATTTGGTAGAAATTCTTATTTAATTTTGGATTATTTACACTAGACTAGTCTGGCCAGCGTGGGGAGTGTAGGACAAATCCTCCATTTGCCTCTGGTCAATTAGAGGGTCGTGCTCCTGCACTGGAGACCAATGACCTGATGTGATTTTAACCGCCTCTGTGGTCTAGTGGTAAGACCACCTGCTTCAGACGCAGAGGTCCCGGGTTCGATTCCCAGTGGGGGCAGATTTTTCTGTTCGGTTTGGTTGGTGGTAGGGCTTGTTCTAAGTCCGCCTGGCTAGCTACCACCATCTTACCTAAGTCTGTCGCCATAACAACAATATTTACAGCATTGTTGTGTTCCGGCAGTTAGAGGTGAGATAGCCAGTTCCTCCGTGGTTGAGGATTCCGGGTGAAGCTCGCTTCCACCTTCGGCCTGATCATCACTTACCAACAGGTGAGATACAGGCCAAGAGCTTCCTCGTTGTGGATAAAAAAAATGATATAGTCCGAAAAATATTGGACGAAGCCACGGCCTGAAACTAGTATTAAACAAGTAATAAATTGACGTCTATTACATGACTTACTTACTTACATGACATATTTGCCAAGTTTCAAGTGAAACTTGACCTTCGACCTTCGCCAAGGTCGGCTAGGAAAAACATTATACCGAGCGTGTTCCGACAAGGTTTATGATGTTCTTATAACTTATTTTAATAAGGTCCGTAGAGATTATTTCTAACCTACTTCAAAAAAGGAGGAGGTTTTCAATTCGTCTGTATTTTTGTATGTTTAGGACCGCAAAATTCCGTCAATTATGGACCGATTTCAATAAATGGAAAGAATTATGATCTAGAATGGATTTAAATAAATAAAAAAAACGTCAATTTTGTAACTAAAGTCTGATAAAAATCGATTGAAACATTGACTGAGTTACATATCTCAACAGAATATTATGTTTTAAGCTTAGATTAATAAAACCTAGATAGATAGTCAGTGCACGAAAGGTGAGGCAGTTTTTAGGGAGCCGGCACGGCTTACCCGTAAACGTCACATGAACTGTCAAAGTGAAAAATTGGTAAACACGTCTGACGAATTTTAATTAATTAAAACGGTTTGTGCTGTGAAAGGGTGTCTAAAATATATCAGAAAAACAAAAGAAAGTGACCAGTGTTACATTTCATAAGTAAGTACTACGATTCGACGCGTATTTTGCTTGAATTTGGCTTTCAAAAATTAAATACGGGAATGATACCAGTAACAAGAAAATGTATTTCCCAATTATTCGCCGTACAAATACACTTCCTTTTCTATGAAATCGAGACTTTGAAGTCGATTTATCTTATTGTTATTAGGTAGGTACTTTGAATTCAATAAATAAGTAAGTACATGATGCGTTTTGTTTTTGTTAATTATAAAATTATTAAAAACGTATTAAAAATTTCCCTACTTTCGGGAAAATCGCCTTCACTGTCTACACTCCCCAACAAAATTGACACTAATGACATAAAATTTTTGCCTCACTCTTGACGAAGCGTTTGTATGAAGACTATCCATCTAGGTTTTATTAATCTAAGGTTTTAAGCAATGAAAATTATACATTTATTATTTATTTATTTTAGACCATTTAGCTGACTGATGTGATTATATGTCCATGCATATCCATTTCTGTGGCACGTAGAACAATCATTACAAACTATAGCCTGACCAGGAACATAAAAACCCTGGCATAGAGGCGCCTCAATTGCATTTGATAGTGCAACACTGAGTACAGTCGTACCTGTGTTAAATTAATAGGCTAACTTTATGTATCAGGATTCAGGATTACGGGCTAATTTGATGTTTTCATAAATTAACGAAAAAATATTATTATAGGTAACCTGATTTGAATAAATTAAATGAAACCATCAATCGAGCTAGTAGATTTATTTTATTATTCATCAATAATCAAATTCAGAACTTGAATATTCAACTGCAATGTCTGCTCATGAACGCTTCAAACTCGGTAGGTACTTATTTCCCAATCCCATAAAATTCAACACTTAGAAAGTGACAAAATTTTTAAAATAGGTAGTTGAAACAAACCACAGCTAATTTTCATAGTGGACTGTACTATACGATAAACATGTCAGTCAATTTGACAACCTTTGTCGGAAACATTATTCAATGAAAATATTGTTCGAACCCTTAGTATTTCTCTTCGACAAATACTTTAACACATTGTAAACCACTTTTCTTTCACGACTATAAAAATATTTTAGCAATTTAATTCATAAAACCGACACGCGCATTTAAAATAAAGTTTGTTTACACTTTGACAGCAATAGACTGACATGCAAGGTGACATGTCAATGAAGTTTTCAGTTACTGTTGCCATTAAAAGAAATTAGTACCATTAGTTTTCCGCAACATGGCGAGGGTTTTTATGTTCCTGGTCAGGCTATATATCAATTATACCTTAGTTCTAGGGCATAGTATTCGATATAGGTCAAAGGATTAGAATAACCTTATTATTATTTTGTAAGATGACGATGTATATCAAACTAAATCCGAAAACATAACCCTCATTATGGCGCAGTCGGGTAAAAAATGAGAAAGTTTGCGAGGATGGGAGGATTAAACTACTGAACCGACTTAGATGAAATCTATACTAATATTATAAAAAATGCGAAAGTAACTCTGTCTGTCTTTCTGTCTCTCTTTTACGCGTAAACCACTGAACCGATTTTGGTGAAATTTGGCATAGAGATAGTTTGAGTCCCGGGAAAGGACATAGGATAGTTTTTATCCCGGTTTTTGAAACAGGGACGCGCGCGATAAAGTTTTTCTGTGACAGACAAAATTCCACGCGGGCGAAGCCGCGGGCGGAAAGCTAGTATGATATACCTAGATATAGCTTGAGACAAAGGGAAAAACAAAATCCTTGTGTGACAAACCGAAGTCTAGGACTTGCTAGTGAAAAATACTAACCGAATCCTACCTCCCCCTTTTTGAAGTCGGTTAAAAAACAACTGTTTTCACCCAACTGGTCAAAGTTCAACACATCTACTTGACAGGATTCCACTCTAACTGCTGTTAAGTCTATGTTACTCCACTAACCTAAATAGTGTTGTTAGCGTTCTGTTTGTCAGTCTGTGTGTACAAGGCCACCTGTGGACGATTAGCGGTGTTCTGAACTTTATTATGTAATTAACTGGGTTGGATTTTGAATAACATTAATATTGAGTAAAAATCTTGAGTTTTATTAATAACCATTGACAAGGTGCAGATTGAGCCTCTGTTATAAAAAATAAAATTTACGTGACCATCGATTTTTAGTTGGCCGATAGTTTGGCCCGATTCTAATGTATGAAGAATCGGCCAATACCAAATCAGTGTAATGTGCGCACTTTCATACATGCCCATTGCCCATACTGATTAACAGCCCGACCCAACTATCGGCCAACTAAATAGTCTTCCAGTGACTTGGCCGACTTTTAGCTTGGTCCACGGGCCAAGTCACTGTATTAAATTTTTAAATATTTTTCTTCCAGTTTACAGTTTTTATTAAATAATTAAACACCAAATCAACAAAGACTCCTCTAGAATCTTAAAGTAGGCTCAGTTGCTGGAAGAAAAAATACTTAAAAATTCAATACAGTTACTTGGCCCGTGGACCAAGCTAAAAGTGGGCCAAGCCACTCTTGAATGAAACTTCGCCGCTATGAAATTCCTGTAAAACCATAGACTAACTCGCGTTAATTTTAAACATAGTTGAAGCCACTTTATTTACAAAATATGGAGTGTTGACTACTGCTGACTTTGCTGACACAAACTGTTTCTATTTCTAATGGACTAAAGTTTAATTTCGTTTGCACATAGACTCCAGGTAACCCGAATCTGGTATCTCTTCGGTTATTTTGGATACCAATGCCAAGATAGCAAAACAATATAAACGGGCTATTTCTAGTACTTTGGTGTTTGGTTTGGTCGGAGATTGATGGCTAGTACAGCATAGTAACACGATAAATTGTTGCAAACTAGTACCTCAATAGGTAATAGTTGCAATCAACTAGATAAGAGTTACAATACTACAGTATTTAGTGTGATGTGCCGTTGGGACGAAATTATTATATCCGATAAGATTCTTATTCATAAAAATCTTACGAAACTTATGAACTGAAATCTTGTCGTCCGATTTCGGCTTGGTGATATCAACACATTCACATACAGTCATTATTTTAAGTTACTTTTGTGAACGCTACAATGTAACTAGGGTTGCCAGGCGTCCGGATAAAGCCGGACATAGTTAGGCTTTTTGATTGCGTGTCCGGCCAAAATAACCCCTTCAATCAAGGTGTGAGGTCAAATGCCTGCCTTCTGCATAAAAAACATGTTCAACTCACCAAGTTGTATGGATCCCATGATCTGGGAAGACTGGATCTTCTTGTATGTGATCTCGCCGCCCTCCCCCACTCTCCTGTGACCGATCTTGCGGTCCGACTTGTGCACTTTGCTGATGGCCCCCGAGGGGCCCACTGCCGGCTGTAAAGGAGACATCAGATTAGAATGAATTTTATAAAAAAAGCTCTATATTCAAGACAAAATAACGAGCCCAGACGATATAATTGATGTAAAGCATTGAGGAGTTGATCTGCAGGTGGTCCTGCTAGCAGCAACTTCATTTCAACATAATACTGGCCTAGGAGGCCTGCGTGTAGGCAGGCAATAAGATTGGTGCCCGTTTTCACCATCAATCAGTTATTTTTAAATGGTAACACATTTAACAGGAATTTTGTTTTCATAGGGGTTACTTAAAAATTAGGTTGATGGTGAAAACGGGCATGGGAGTCTTATCTATACTAAATGCGAAAGTAAATCTGTCTGTCTATCTTGCTTTCACGCCTAAACCATTGAACCGATTTTGATTAAATTTGGCATAGAGATAGTTTGAGTCCCGGGAAAGGACATAGGATAGTTTTTGTCCCGGTTTTTGAAACAGGGACGCGCGCGATAAAGTTTTTCTGTGACAGACAAAATACGCTAGTTATAAATAAGATAGCTAATTAAAAATAATTTTCTTTTCGGTATTTAAGGCTACTTTTACATTTATTACAAATAAGATGCCCCTGCTTTTAGTTTGTTTGTTAAGCTGCCAAAATAATCACGAATAGGCAAATATTGGTTTACGTGGGTCTTTCTTTTAGCCCTATAAACCTCTCGCTCTACAAAAAACAGATAAAATAGAAATTAGTTTGTAAACATCACGTTAATCTTTACAATTTTGTTTTTGTTGTTTGTAAATGTAAAATAGGGGTAATTTTACATTGTAACATCATAAGATGGACTGGACTTGCTGTCGTCTGTGCATCGGAAGTAGACTACGAGGTCACATTTTACCTGACACGCGCGACTCACAACCGCGTGGGTGAACTGATTCTTCCAGTATCCAGTTACAAAGAAACCTGGATCAGTGATACTCAAAGTCTAAGAGGCGCAGACCACGGACTTTAGTTGGCCGATAGTTGGGCCCGATTCTAATTTGTATATGAAGAATCGGTCTATACCAAATAGGTGTAATGTGCGCACTTTCATACATCTCCATACTGATCAACAGCCCGATCCAACTATCAGCCAACTAAAAGTCGGTGATCTGCGCCTAGTTTAATCTTAGATTCTTATTTTCGAGGAGTCTACGCAAAGGGACGGAACTATTCCCACCCCTCGTTCCCATACCATCTCCTGTGTAGCCAGGATCTACAGCTTGACCACCAATAATCCACCAGTGAAGGTCAAGTTTGTCCCGGGGGAAAGTTTAACTGTCATTGGTGAAATTAAAATTGGTGGTCTTTGAAATGGAATGGGGAGCCTCCAGTGTTTATTCAATAATGATTAGGGGCAGCTTAAATAGACAATCCATTGGGAGCTTCCCTAAGGTGGGAACCACAAAAATTTTGGGTTTTGTCTGATGGGGCGAATAAATGGAAATAAGTGGAATAATCCCAAGATTTTTTTTAGCAATCCCCCTTTGAAGGGGCGAATCAATAGAGATAAGTGAAATAATCCCAATCTTGCACCGAGAGGGTTTACGCAAAACTGAAATACATATCAATTTCTTCTTCTTCTTTGCCTGGCCCATTCCCATTTTATTTGGGGTCGGCCCTCCGCGTCCTGCGTCTCCAGGCGGCTAGGTCCTGGGTTGTCTTACTGTTAACTTGGGCTTCTTTAAGGTCGTTATTGATTACAGACATCCATATCAATTTGTCGAGACGAATAAGTTTGGGTAACTATGACTTAGATAATCCTACATGCTACAAAGCATCATCATCCAATGACTGGATGGATATTGATACAATCTTCATTGATTCTAAACTGGTAAACTTATTGGCATCTGAAACAATTGATTTTACACCCACATGCTTAGGACTGAGGCCACGGATTCCTTTGTAAAGATGACACATAAAATAAAACAAACATATAAGTATCTTTATGCAGTTCTAGTAAGTGCGATTTTGCAACAAAATTAGTGTGATGTGCTGTCAACTGTGATTTTATCCTTATTTAAGGAGTTTAATGCCCGTTTTCACCATCGATCCCTAATTTTTAAGTGACCCTTAATAAAGAAAAAAGGTTGTATGTGTACCATAGGGGTCACTTAAAAATTAGGGATTAATGGTGAAAACGGGCATAAGACAACTAGTCAACATCATCATCATCAATAATTCACCCACAGGACGTCCACTGCTGAACATATGCCTCCTTGCTCAACTGTTGTTCACTTAAAACTACTTGTATTCTTAGCAAGCTCTTCTCTTAAGTAACATGCATTCTAATCAGAAATTCATCAAATTTTGTTCAGAAGTAATAGGCTGAAAAAGGTACCTGACAATATTTTTGCATTTAATAAGTAATTTGTATGAGGCTGGTTTTAGTGTCACGCGGACTGTCAGTGCGGATCGCTCCGCACAGCCGATTTGTATGAACTCCGTCCGCACCGGACGGTCCGCGTGACACTAAAACCAGCCTGAATTTGTTTTAGATTCCTTGCTCAAATATTATTCCCGTGTCTCTTAGCAAGTTGAATCGAATTTAACGTTTGTCGAACTAATAAATGAACCATAAAATATTTAAATTTAACAACAGGAAATAAACTGAAGTAAAAGTCCAACAAAAGTATATCAGGACGACCCGCCCACTTGTCTGTCATTTTATAAATAGCTAACACACTTCGTTCCTCACCAAAAATGGTCAACAATAAAGTATCGTTATATTTGGAAACCTTTACCGTTACCAATCTTCACGATGCTTTTTTTCAACATGACAATAGGTGTTAATTTCTGCATATTTCGTTTCAACCAAATGACGTCAGCAGTGGGAGACGGCTTATGTGACTGCACCAGACAATCTGCCAATAGAGTTATGGAGGGAGATCGTGCGGAGAGTTGTATCCGCCTCTACAACCGATGTGAACAACGCCTCAACGTGACCACGACCGCTCTGCCAAGAGCGTAACGAATAAGAAGAAGAAATGACGTCTGTTGGACAAAGGCCTAAAAGATTTCCACAAGGACCGGTCCAGCGCTGCCCGCATCCAGGTGCTTCCCGCGACCTTCGGTTGATATTTAGTAGTGTATTCCACTTTGAACACCTGGGTGCTCATAGGCGACAATTTAGTTACAAAGGGTTCTTACACACGAACAGCATTTTGCTGTCGACGCATGTAACTGCAGTCGACGTCAGAAGGCGACGGCTAGCTGTCGACATGCTGCCGACGTGCTGTCGACGCGTTCGCGGCTGCCGCCAGCAGGTGGCGACAGCTAGCCGCCTCCGCCATTTTGAAGGTCAACTGTCAGTAGTCCAGGAGCTTACACGCACACCTAATGAGTTCCGAACAAATTGATTCGGAATTGCTAAAAAATTAGTGCTGTCAAAAACAATGAAATAATATGGAACTCGAATTTAGAAGGCTACCATAATAAAACATCAAAAAATAGAGCATGGGCGTCGGTGTGTGTAGTCTCGTTCTCTATTCAATAACATTTCTTAAACCCACAATGACCGGTTCTTTCTCTTTCGTCAACGACGACGGAGTAAATGCAACAACAGTGTTTCTTCAATGAAATCCATTTTCAACTGGCTGGCTCCTGTACAAAGACGTACGCCGACACGGTCGTCGCAGCAAGCTGTCGACTCGTCGACGGCAGACGTCGACGTGTCGACAGCTTGCTGCGGGCACGTCGACGGCTAGCTGCCGACAAGTGACGGCGACTGCGGTCGCCTTTGCTGTCGTCAATGTGCTGCTCGTGTGTAAGAGCTCTAATGATTCCACCACCTAGGTGCCAACTGCCAATCTATACAAGGGTGATATCATCATAGGACACTAAAGTATCGCATTTGGGCACCCAGATTTCATCCACGTGATCAAAGTGGTCGACCTCAAAAAGGTAGCAGGAAGGCGCTGGATGCAGGCCGCTACTAACCAGGCGATATGGAAACCATTGGGGGAGGCCTATGTTCAGCAGTGGACGTCCTGTGGCTGAAATTATGATGATCAAAGTGGAATAAACCATTTAATGTCTACTTATTGTCATCTCGAAAAGGACATTTAGAACTTTTAGACATTTTGCCAAATGGGTCAATGACCTTCATCACGAAACGTAAACGTACAACATCAGAAATCACGTTTCATCTGAATGGGAGAGTAGACAAAGCACGGCGCGTCATCGCCACGTCATGTCGTGACGCGCCACCGCTTCCGATTCGAAAATAAACATTAAATGCATTTCTGATGACTTCCCTGAAGATTTTAAACTGACTGAAGTGCATGGACCCTAGTCTAGTGATACCCAAAGTGGTATATTAGGACCCCCTGGGGTCCATTGCAGACTCCAAGGTGTCTAAGCGAAGCGAAATTAGAGGTCCCTGGGATGGAATGGGGGTCCACAATAATGACCTTGGATCTCTGCTTTCTTTAATCTGATTTATCCATCAAATAGATAAGATAACAGACCGGTCACTAGGTGAATCTCCAACGAGTCCATCAAAAAAATGTGGCAACTAGGTAAGTAGTACGGGACTAAAAACCAAACTTCTGGTGCCTTATTACAAAAAAGTTGGAAGCGCGATGAATCTATACTATCTATACTCTATACTAATATTATAAATGCGAAAGTAACTCTCTGTCTGTCTCGGTTTCACGCCTAAACCACTGAACCGATTTTGATGAAACTTGGCATAGAGATAGTTGAGTCCCGGGAAAGGACATAGGATAGTTTTTATCCCGGTTTTTGAAACAGGGACGCGCGCGATAAAGTTTTTCTGTGACAGACAAAATTCCAAGCGGTCGCGGGCGGAAAGCTAGTCAAACTATATATGTCAATTTAAACTGATCAACGCGAACTTTTTGTAATAAGGGGTCTGAGGGCATGAAAGACGAGAGAGAGGGAGTGTTGCACCCTCATGCATCACGTGCGCTATGACAAGAAGTTTTTAATATCAATGGACTGAAGATTAAATGAATCAGACGTAATTAAGAAGAGTTCAAGGCTAAAGAAATGAGGAAGGATTCTCCAGTGCGTAAGGAAAATCCCATGACAAACAAGGGTATAAATAAACCTGAAAGAAAGAAGTATACGTCACGCGCAGTTATGTTTTATGGTGGTGACCTATCACGTACGCTGTTAACTATCTAACATTTGACAAAATCACCGGATTTTTCCGTAGTAGAATCCACATACGACTGACGGCATATCAAATCAAATAGTTTATTATTAGTACATAGGCCCTTTCCAGGCGCTTATACACGTCCCAAATATAGCTTACCCTACCTTTCACATAGCTCGTACGGCGGGCGGGGCACATAGCTCGTAGAGACAATGGCCGTTGGGGCAGAAAAGTTCTCGAGTAGCGACCACGGGCTGAAAGACGTAGCGTGGGCAGGCCTCCTACTAGGTGGACCGACGATCTGGTAAAGGTCGCGGGAAGAGCCTGGATGCGGGCAGCGCAGGACCGTTCATTGTAAAAAACCTTGGGGGAGGCCTTAATTTGTCCAGCAGTGGACGTCATTTGGCTGAATCGAACGAAAGAACCACCATTTTGGGACAAATATGGACTGGTGCTGAGAAGTGGCGGAAAAAACTCAGTCACCTTGGTCATACAGAACTACAGATTCATTTCTTATCGCACAATCAGGTCGGCAGATGCATCTGAGCCAATTAAAAGTGACAATCATCATCCCAAAGTCCAAATTGACTCATTAAATCCAGGAATCATGTCCTCATGTTGGTACAGCATACAAATAATGATGAGTCAACACACATATTGTGTAGCACTGGCCCCACGCCAGTGAGTTAAGTAATGAGCATATTATATTGTCTGGGACACTGGTTCCCAAAGTATAGTAAGCATACCCCAGGGGGTGATAATTTAGTGCAAAATTGTTTCTTGATGCAAATGTAGGAAGGCAGAAATTGGCTTGTGAATCAAGCCAGTGTCAGTAATTTATGAATAAGGGGGTAAAAAACGTAACTAAAACTCTTTGGCACAGAATAGATTTTTAATTAAGTCACCCCTCGTGGTAAGCTTAATATGCTTGTGTAACGTGTGGGTTCACCACTATAATCCGCAGCGCGGCGGGGATCGAACCCGCTTTCCTCGGAATGGGACTTACAGAAGTTACAATCTAGAAATCCTGTTCTGTCCTCTATCTAGTTCTTGGGAAAATCATTTAGTATCCATTACAGAAGCACAATTTGGCTAAAATTGAAATAAGGCATTTATTTCATCTCCCTTATTCGCCTTATAATATACGACATCCACGTGAGGAGTGGGAGTGGTCCTATCCTACTATCATTGACTTACGCCTGTATTCACAAACAACGCTTGTTTAAGTGAAGCAGTATCGAACGCACAGCTTTGAATAGAGCTCTGTGATTGGTTCGTGTGTCACCCTGTGCGTCCACGCGCACTGTGTACCTCACAGTAATGTTTGTTAATACGGGCATTAATCTACTAGAATACAGTCAGATGATTTACGAATTATTGGTGTTATCAGCTATCAAATTAGATAAATGACACTGACCTTAGTCAATTGAGTCACATCATGACATAAACAAAAAAATGCTCAGATATGTGTCATCAAAATAATATCTGAAAGGTTTCGTTCGTTCGTTTCAGCCGAAAGACGTCCACTGATGGACAAAGACCTCCCCCAAGGATTTCCACAAAGACCGGTCCTGCACCGCTCGCATCCAGGCGCCTTCCGCGACCTTCACCAGATCGTCGGTCCACTTAGTGGAAGGCCTGCCCACTCTACGTCTTCCGGCTCGCGGTCGCCACTCGAGAACTTTTCTGCCCCAGCGGCCGTCAGCTCTACGAGCTATGTGTCCTGCCCACTGCCACTTGATTTTAGCGATTCTGCGGGCTATGTCAGTTACTCTGGTTCTCTGGTTTGAAAGGTTTATTTATTACAAGACAATTTTTTAAAAGCTTTGCATATGTGTAGGAACTTTTTACCTCATTTAATTTGAAGGTTAGAAAGAATTTCTTTCACATGGCAAAATAGTGTACAAATTCCAAATGATTGGGAACCAGTGGTTACATTATTAACATATGGATTTCTTTGGTGCCTAGGGAAAACATCAAGTAGCCTTAATAAGTACTTCTGTACTAAGGGCACTAAATGAAATTAAACATGAGTGATCCCTAAATATTGAATAGTAGAGTACTTATAAATATGAAGCTAATCTAAACACTGAGGCATCTTTTGTAGACTTAATAAGTATTAAGATTTTGCAACATTAATCTAGTACTGTCAACTGTACACAATCCCTTCTTCATTTTCCATTCAGTATTTCCTTCATTGCCTTCAAAAAACTAAGGATGGATTTGACCAATCAAGAGTATAATCTCAGAACAAATCGTCAGTTATTCGACATTTTGACATATTTCCCATACTGAAACTATCAATGTGCCAGTTATACCAGGAGTTATTCTCGGATAAAAGTTTGGTCAAATCGGGCCTAAAACAGTTAATTATCCTGTAATCAATTTACATAGGAAATAAATAAATCATTATTTAGTAGCGCTGTTATATCAATGTAAAGTTGAGTGAGTTTTTGTTAATTGTTTATGTAAAAACTGTTTATCAACTGTATTTACATGGATTTTAATGGTCATTATTATCTGAATGATAATGTATTGTGATTGAAACAAACATTTAATCAGCAGACCAGTTCGGAAAATAACATTGGTTTACTGTTATTTTTATTTGTATATTAACTGAAACACTGATATTTAGAGGCATTGCAAAGATCTATTAACCTGGTGTTCCTTGATTTTATCATTGTTGAACTAAATTTAGATCTATCCATAGAGAAAGTAGGTACCTAATAAGTTTGGACCTCTGTAGGTAAAGTAGGAACCTACTCAGGTTTTTAAAAGTAAAGTTGCAGTACATTTCTTACTTGCGCTAAATGTTTTGTATGTATGTAAGCTATATGTTGTATACAAATAGATATTTATCACATGTACTTCCCTCTGTCCCACCATTGTTTTAACCTAGGAGCCTTGAAGCAAGCAAGTTCTATGATGATAACATTATATTTACAACAGTAGTAGGTATTTGATGTCAAATAAATGTCCATGACCCTGAGTATTTATTTATTATTTGAGAAAGATGAGTTTTTGACTAAATCTCTACATGTTTTACAAAGATATATCTGTATTAAAGTAATTTATACTTTAAAAAACCCTTATTATTTGATGTGATTATAAAAAAAAAAATTATGACAAAAACAAAAAGTTTCATGCAAAAGTGGGAGTAAAACATACTAACTGACATCATACCACAAACCATTCATGATTGTAGCCTTTAACTGGGCCACCTAGAACAATCATACACATACATACTGGCGTACATAGGGTTGCCAGGTCCAAAATCACAAAAGCCGGACTTTGTGTTTCATTTGGCCGGACATTTTTGCCCAAAAGCCGGACATGTGACGGGGGGAGGGGGGGGTGCAATTAGTGTCAGCTCATGAGTGAGTACTATCATCATCGGTTGCTAACCAACATCCTGATGCATGCGCTTCATATGATTCTGTGGCTCGACTTTCGCCTGGCGTGGCAACCAAATAAAAAGCCTAACAAAAGCCGGACAGGCCGGACAAGGCAATATTTGGCCGGACAAGACCCTAAAAAGCCAAACATGTCCGGCTAAAGCCGGACGCCTGGCAACCCTAGGCGTACACAGACGCGCCGTGGTCATCCCCGCGTTATCTAGCAATTTCTCAACAGTACAAGTGAACAAAACTTGCATATTTAAACGGATAGCCGCTGAGGCATTCAATTTATTACTTTCTCCAACTAACAAAATGTTCTCGCGAACTATGAATGAAATTACCAACGTACATAAACAAAATAACATTCACTTACGTCGTATGGTGCATTTTTTTCAGCGATCGAGGCTTTATCGCGTTCTGAAAATGAAAAAGAGCACAAATAAGCAACTAGGTTGATCCGAGATGTTCGACCGAGAAATACGATTATGCCATTGGTATGTTGTATAACCGATGTTGTATTATTAGATTTAGAAGTACACTACCATCGTCCTCGGAGCCCGATGGCCCGGTTGCGCTTTCAGTCTTTTTGGGGACTGTGCTATCCATAACTTCGATATGATCACTGTCCCCCGAGGCCATTTTTGTTTTCCTGTTACACCCCCTATTTTGAAGTCTCTCGATTCAATGTATGCACAATATTAATTCTCATGGCTCACATCACACTTGCATCGCTAGCACAATGATTCACTATAATTTAATTAGAAGAAATCAATTAGTTTACGCGAAAACGCTCGCCCGAAGCATTCGACTGACACGACCGCTCATTGTAACTGTGTTGCCAACTGAAAAATAAATTATCATAGACTAGAAACTTATGTCGACAGTGATGTTCTAATCTGCTTCTCCCACAAAAACCGTAAATCGTAAACAAAATAAGCATTTTAAGGGTTAAACAAAAAAAAATACAATCAAATGGCAACACCGAGGAACGCCATGTTTATTTCTTTTCCGTCATTCCTTTGCCGCGGTAAGATTTTTAAGGTTATTTCTTATCTTGGCGTCTTTAGTTATTTTCGCTTAATAATACAACATAATATTATTAACGGATAGACGATTACTGTGTGAATAAACAACTGTGGTGTTTTGAAATTCCAGCCATTTAGCGCTACGGTGTTGGTATCGTCTGAAGCGTTTGCGATTTGATTTGCGGCATTCTATCAAAATGGGAAAAAAAGTGAGAGAATACAAGTCTGGAGACTTCATTTTCGCCAAAGTTAAAGGGTATCCAGCATGGCCAGCCAGGGTGAGTGCTATCAGGGCTTGTAACGAGCAATCTAACTTGCAAAAACGCTGTAATGAATTCTAATTGGATGAGCGCGGGAAGACATATTTGAGCGATGCTTTCCATCCGAATTTTGTGGCATCGCTTGTGAAATTGTGAGCATTTCAAGGTTCTTAACTCATTACAGTTCCCCACTATCCTATAAAACCATTCAAAAGCCAGTTTCTCTTATAATAAATCCAAGAAATTTACATTAACATTGTGGACCCATTTGCCAACGCGTCGCCCACTCAGTGCGCTTACCCTGCATCATTTAACAATATCTAACATGTTATCAGTGCTCAGTTTGCGAATAAATTAACTACATTCGATGTTGTTGAAAACTTTAACAGTTATCACTGTTACAGCCATCTTGTAACCAATTTTGGACTGAAAAACTAAAATGCTAATTCAGTTCTTTGTTGGAATATGTTTGATTTTAAATCCCTAGTATTTTAAACAATAATGAGCATCTACTCAGTATTTAGAAAAAAATATGTAAATACATTATGTAAATATGATAATTACTAGTTTTCATAAATAAAATACCTAACTAGTTTTAGAACAAACCTTAGAATAAATTTATACTAGTATGATGCACCATAACTAACATTTTATTCATAATTAATTTATAATTCACTAGCTTTCCGCCCGCGGCTTCGTGCGCGTGGGCTACATTATCTACATATTTTACGGAACCCTATTTTTTCCAAAATAAAATTTAGCCTATGTTACTCGTGGATAATGTAGCTTTCGAATGGTGAAAGAATTTTTAAAAACGGTCCAGTAGTTTTTGAGCCTATTCATTATAGAGATGAAACGGATATCCGGTAACTATCCGGTAGGCCGGATATCCGGCCTAAATTTACTATCCGGCCGGATACCGGATAGTAACTCACTATCCGGCCGGATACCGGATATTAAAAAACTACGACAATTTCCTATTAATAAAATGTAAACATTAAATCTTTGGGGTAAATAAATATCAATAAAATGGCTTATAATAATGACGGCTTTTATTAAAAGTCCAAAAAGTTACAAAAAGCCATATTAAGGCCTTTCAAAAATCTAATTTCTTTTTCTGGGCTATTATCTCTAATGACGAATACATAAATGGTAAATATCTGTTAATGTCAAAATATTGCCAAATAAATTTTCGCTATTCAATCACACACTCACGATGGCAACCAAAATCGCCCGAATTAATCTGCCCCCTAGACAAGTGGCAAAATCTGACATTCTATTCGGATGAATTCGATTTTCGAAAAGTGACTAGTCTAGTCTACTAATAGACCCACTGATCGCGTTCGAAACACCTGTGCGGCGCTAAACTCGTCACGACATGCAACGAGACAATGGGCCAACTATCCGGCCGCCGGATATCCGGCTATCCGGCCTAGCAGCTGGCCGGATATCCGGTATCCGGTATCCGGCCAAACAACTCTCCGTTTCATCACTAACAACCAAACAAACAAACAAAGTTTTCCTCTTTATAATATTAGTGTAGATAATGGTATGCACTCAATACTTTTCGATTGATATAAATATTTTTTTTTGTTTCAGGTACAAAGACTGAATGGCAAGAAATATTTTGTATATTTCTATGGAACAGGAGAAACGTAAGTTGATAGCAAATAAATTACTGTATTTGACCCAGTTCAAATAACTTTGTTGATTAAAATACCAAATAATTAGCATAATGACCAAGGCAATTAAGGAAACCTTTAAAACAACAATTAATAAACTTTAAATCATTATGAAACTTTAAGCAACAAATTTTAATAGGCGACTGAGCAATATGAGTAAACCATAACGTCATTTTGTTGTATCCTTCATAACACATATTTATACTTGTCTTAAGGATCAGAGGTGAGAGTGCTTTTTTAAAAGTAATGTATGGCACCAGCAGATATCGATTTATTACATAACCGAAACCAATAATTCCACAAATCAAATGATCGTAATAGAGAAATATGCCTATGGCAGAAATAATGATATAGGTCACAAATATCACAGTCCCTGAACCGAGGGAACGTCCGTCACAGCCAAGCGCTCGAGCAAAGTGTGGCGGCGCGCGGGGCGGCCGGTTTCTCGTGCCTTCCCTCTCTAAGACAGAGACAACAGGATCGAACGATATGACGTCACGCTGACGTAGTGGGTGTTATTTCTAAGACAGCCAGAAACTGACAGAGGCCGTATTTGCATGTCAAAGTCAACACTACGCTTCAGGTATTAAAAACCAGTCAGCGTCTGCCTGGACAAAGCCAGAAACTGACAGAGGCCGTATTTGCATGTCAAGTGAAGATTCGCCATCCTCCAAGAATGCTCTGCAAGCCCCTGGAGTCCACTCGCCGCGCCACGAGCCCGTGTGCTCGGCGGCCTCCTGGGTTTTTCGATGCAGAACCCAGCCAGCAACTCCAAGTCATAGCGGTGATGCGCCAGCGCCCGTTTAAACTTGTATGGGCAGCACGTTCACTTCAAAATACACGCTCGGCCTTCCTCTGCACATCAAATATCAAAAATTATGCACATATTCGTCAGGATCGTATTCTTCGATGTTCGCTCGCGAACCAAACATTGCTCGTTCGTTCGCCGAACGCTCGCCGCTCCCTCCGGTCACGCCGCCCCCGGGCAATGTCCGTGAGTATACAAGGGTAGATAAGAAAAGAAATACAAAAGTGACAGGACCTTGTTTGTAGCAAACCAGACAAAGCGCCAATATTCCTGTTCACTACGTCCTCCCTGGTAGTTGCGCGGGTCGCGCTGGTGCTCTTGCTCCATGCCCCCAGGGCCACCGCATCCACAGGAATGCGCCTCTCGGAATCCAGCTCGATACTCAATCGATGCACACGTTCATTTAACGGCGGCATTCGACATTCGAACAAACCCGACGTTTAACTAACTTTTATCACGACACTGTCTACGAGAATAATCACGTTCTTTTTTTAATCTAGACGAACGCCTGGTCATCTTAACTTTTAACACTGCACTTATAATCACAAACTAAGGCAAAAATAGATGGCAAAAACGGTTAGAACGCGTGGTCAATCCCACTTCTTGTCTTAAGGATCAGAGGTGAGAGTGCTTTTTTAAAAGTAATGTATGGCACCAGCAGATATCGATTTATTACATAACCGAAACCAATAATTCCACAAATCAAATGATCGTAATAGAGAAATATGCCTATGGCAGAAATAATGATATAGGTCACAAATATCACAGTCCCTGAACCGAGGGAACGTCCGTCACAGCCAAGCGCTCGAGCAAAGTGTGGCGGCGCGCGGGGCGGCCGGTTTCTCGTGCCTTCCCTCTCTAAGACAGAGACAACAGGATCGAACGATATGACGTCACGCTGACGTAGTGGGTGTTATTTCTAAGACTTGTATAAATATGTGTTGTACTAACTGAATATTATACGCAGGACCTCTTGTACCACAAAAACTATGTAATCGTTAACTATACAATGGCTAATAATTAATATTATACTTAGAGGATTCTTATTATATCTGCCCCTCTCCTTTTCATTGTTATGTCTTTATTTATTATAGCTTTACAATCCACAATTAAACAGTTTTATTTAATTAATCCGTATTTCCCTTGATTGTGGCCCCACTTGGGTAAAAGCCTCCTCCATCATTGCTATGCCTTTAGATGCACATAATAATTAGTACTTTTGCAAGTTTTGGTTACTCAAAACATCCCATTTAATGCAATGTGAATTTGAAATTAATAAATAACTCTTTCAGCGCAAACCTCCCACCGAACATGATATTCGACTACGCAGAGAACAAAGAGAAGTTTCTGACCAAGACAGTGAAGAGGCGGGACTTCAACGACGGTGTGAAGCAGATTGAACATGACTTCGCTAATAATGTGCCGCTGGAGCAAGTTATTGGGCTGGCGGCTGAGGTGAGGATATTTTAAATTATAAGGCAGAAAGAATACCACTCCATATTTTTGGTTTCGAACAAAGAAAAATGTTGTAAAATTTTTATAAATCTATACGTATAATTAAAAATAAATGTAATAATAATAAAGCCTGCTACTGAGAAAAATGTATAACATACATTTGTTATTGCAATAATAAAGATTTACAATTTGTATTTTTTTGTCACAAAGAGAAAGCTTTTTACCTAATAGAAACTGATCAGGCTGAAGCTGAAGGTGCAAGTGAGCTTAACTTAGAATCCTCAACCACAGAGGAACTGGCCATCTTGCCTCCAACTGCCAAAAATTAAAACTGTTAACATCTATATATATAAAAATGAAACCCGTTTTCCGTTGTCACGACATAACATGAAAACGGGTTGACCGATTTGGCTGATTTTTTTTTGTAGTTTTCTAATACTCTGTACAAGGTTTTTACGGAAAAAAATATAAAGAAAATCTCTACGCTAAGGCGGTACGAAGTTCGCCGGGTCAGCTAGTTGTTGATAAAATTGCATTGAAACGATTACAGCCGCCAGCCGAAGCTGCTAATGACAGCGCTAACGACACTGCCAATGAGACGATGGAAGAGACGACCGCCGACACCACAGCAGACGATACTGTAGCCGATGAGGTGAGTCTACAACGAATCATCATTTCTGCGACAAAATGTCCTCTTCTGTACATAGGTCTCCCCCAATAATTTCAAGTTTGTAGATATTATAGTTTCTGAGATTTCGTAATGAGTGAGTCAGTGAGTTTGCGAAGGGAGTCAGTGTCACCTTTCGCTTTTATATAAATAGATCTAGAGAAAAGTTGTCAATGAGGTCTATCGTTTTTATACTTAACAGTTGGCACCCCTGGCGATTGACAGGACCTTACTCTACAGTGGCGCCATCTTGATGAGTGCAAATGCGATAGTCCTCCTACCACTTTCGCGCTCACCAGTTGGTGCCACTGTCTTCGCTACTAGCAAGTGACAGGACCTTACTCTACAGTGGCGCTAACTGGTGAGCGCTAAAACGATAGCCCTCATGGGCTGGTGGTGTCAACTACACTTTTATAATGCGAACAACTGGAATTCGCTACCTGTTGCTGTCCTTCCTGACACTATAATCCGGGCCTTTTCAAGGCGAGAGTGAATAGGCACTTACAGGGCAGATATGTACCATCCTAGACTGCATCTTACTTAACACCAGGTACGATTGCGGTCAAATACTTGCCTTGTCCTGCATAAAAAAAACATACTTCGACTCATTGGCAGTACCTGCTTGACTTTGTTAGCATCTAATAGCATGGATTTTCAACAGAGCACAATATATTGAGATGTACTTGTGTCTACAACAAAATCCTAGAGCAAATAGTCAGTGCCAACATTGTTACTGTGAGGCTAAGTAGCAATTGGTCGAGAGGTCTGACATGAAAATAAGTATAATTATGATTTCATTACTTAATTTTATTAATTAACGCTGAGTTGCACCATGCAGTTTGACAGACTTTTGACGTTTGTTCAAGTTAAAGTAAGATGACGCGACCCAGCCTTAAAATGTCACTGTGCTTAAGGTCAAACCACATTTACGCAGCGCAGCACTGAACGTCGCGACAGTAAGGCCCAGTTCCTCTAGCATGAACAACTTTCGTCTTCGAATTGTTTGCGTATTCGATAAAATTCGACTCAACCTTCGAATTAAACGATAACGTGACAATTTTGATTCTCAAAATAAGTTTCGTGCAACCATTTCTCACACTAAGTTCACTTTACGACACGTTCACAAGGGCGCTGTTGTAGTTTTCGTACTGAATCTTTTGATGGCGATTCGAGTTCGCAATCGTGCTAGCCGTACAGAACACACGGTGAAACGAAACTGCAACTTCTAGTTACTTTTGAGTTGCATCTAAGTTTCTGCCATAGCATCCGTTGAGAGACCACACATGACGCGACCAGTTTGAAACCGATTTGAACTGGTCAAACTGGTCGCATCATGTGTGGTCTCTCAACGGAATCTATGGGGTCAAATTATCCTTTCAATCATTTTGTATGGAGTATGTCGCATTATGACAGCGCTGCATAGTTGCTTACGAGAGAATATTTTGACACGCAGTGCAGTGCCACGTAGCGCCGCGCAAATGCGGTCCGACCTTTAAGCCTTGGGCAGACCAAACGCAGGGCAGTAGCAGCAGCGCAGTTTTAATGCGGGCCCGCGCAAGTTGTAATACAAGAAACTCTTTGAAGTATGTCACACCAAATGGCAATGCCAGATTTTGTATGGAAAGTGGCGTCTTTTTTTTTCGCGCGGCCATCGACCAAACTTTGTTTTTTGATTACAAAATAGTGTAATAAACCAAACTTACTATGGCATGTATACCCCTAAACTCAGTCTGAACTGAGTTACGAGCATTAGAAGTTTGATGATTTTCATACTAGATTTGCTTTTTGTGCGCAAGTTTTGTAAGAAATTGCAACAGCAAATCTAGTATGAAAATCATTAAACTTCTGATGCTCGTAACTCAGTTCAGACTGAGTTTAGAGGTATACATGTCATAGTAAGTTTGGTTTCTTACACTATTTTGTAATCAAAAAATAAGGTTTGGTCGATGGCCGCGTGAAAAAAAAAAGACGCCAATTTCCGGCATTGTCTTTTGAACGCGGGCCCGCGCTCCAACCGCGCCGCACTGCAACTGCCGAAATACAAACGAGGCGGCGCGGGTGCGGGACAGAAGCGGCGCGAACGCGGGCCCGCGCTGTTGTATTACTATGGCGGCCATGTAGCCGCNTTCTCTAAATATAATGAGACCGCTCGGACACCGAGCCCACAGCGTGGTAGGGGTGGGGTTGCCCGCTCTTTTGTTTTTTAATACTACTACGCTGAATATTGTGTGCGGATTGGGTTGTCGTACAGGGGTACTACATGGTAAAATAAATCTCTTCGGCGAAAACAGGATAATTTAGATCGAACTTCACTTGGTAAGTTCGTTTGATCATTCAATTGTAAATTGTTAAGGCCGGCAACGCACCTGTAACGCCCCTGGGTCTGCGGGTGTCTATGGACGACGGTAATCACTTACCATCAGGTGATCCGTCTGCTCGTTTGCCTCCTATCACATAAAAAAAAATGTGACTGGAGCTTTTTAAATGTTATGTTTGGTTATTTTATTTATAAGTATTTATAATGTCCGACGACCTCATAAAGTTAGCAGGGAGGCGCTGGATGCAGACCGCTGCCAACCGCGCGTCGTCCTGTGGCTGCAATGATGATGCTGATATTATGTTAAGACACCTATTTTATGTTTGATCTCCGCGTGAAAATTTACAAAAGAACAACAAATAATTCATTTAAGTGGAACACAATTGTATTTGCACTACGATATACCTTTTTAAGAGCCTACCCAGTAACCAACTCGTAAAAAATACAAAAGGTACACTTTTCCCACTTTTATCAAGCTCACAACACCGTAGTTCCGTACAAAGCCGTACTTACGCGCACGTGCCGTTTTTACACGTACAAAAAACACGTAGCACGTGGGCGGGACGTGTGCGCCGGCGCATGGTGCCGTTGTTACGTCACGCGCATGTTGATGGCACGCGCGCGATTCGTTTTTGTTTCAATTTGTACGTCTTCAATTAGGGTCTGTCGGTGAATGCACTTTAATTTTGATATTGTTTAAGTATTTATGCGAGTATAATTAAATTTAACATGTTATGAATAGTAAGGTCATGTTAGAGATCTTTTCGCCTCCTTTGATCGGATATTTGTGCAGATGAAAGCATATCAAGCTGACTGAACTCTATGAAATCTTAATGTTGGTGTGAACTCCTAATTATTTAAAGAAAATAAAGATGGTATTTATTGCTTCCCATCTGAATAAACCACGGATACTCTCGGCGCACTTAAGGGACTCTTATCTAGGTATAAATAAGACGTCAATATTTAGGTGACAATTTATTGCTTGACACAGGTTGTCAATGGTTCACCAAGGTTGTCAAAGGTTCACAGATGTCAAAATACTCCAGGTATATAAAGCCAGGGAAAAAAATCTGGACACCGCGGTACAGCTTTACGCGTCTCAAAGTACAGTGACATCTCTCGGCAAATAATACAAACAAGTTTCATGGAAAGTTTATACACCATCATTAAAACATCCATTAATTACTAATTAACAGCCTGCAAACTGTCGGCCAACTAAAAGTTTTACGTGTTTTAATGACCACTGCTGGAAGTCCAGCAGTGGTGTATAATGCATAAGTATGCAAATGAATGTCCAGGGCAAATAATGTATTTGTCCTACACTACATTCCTCACGCTCTGAATAAAAACGGGACTGTTCCCACCTCTCGTTCCCACCGCTGCAACTCCTGTGTAGCCAGGATCTACAGCTTGACCGCCAATAAAAGCCCAACCAGTGAAGGTCAAGTTTGACGCTCTGACTAGGTAGGTGTGAAGATTAGTCGCCTTTTACAATATCCACCACGGGTAGAGTAAGTGAGTGTGGTCCTTTTCTACCTGAACCACACGGCTAGGTTAAACAACAAAAAAAATATTAATACAAAAATGTTACTTATACGTAAAGTCAAAGTCAAAGTCAAAATTTCTTTATTTGTTTAGACTAATAAATAGTTCTTACAAATCGTCATTTTGCTCTTAAGGAGCCTCTACATGTCTCATAATCTTTTTACCCTACCAGCGCTTCGAGACCAACATTTGGCAAGTGCTGAGAAGAAGCTGTAAACATAAATAACATGCCCAGTAAACCAATGCTTTAACTCATGCAGACTTTCATACATAGTAATGACGTTGTAATCATCAAGCACTTTCATAAGTACATAATGACAGAGTAATCATCAAACACATTCAACTCGCATGTGAAAGGATGCGTGGCGGCGCGTGCGCAGCGAGCCTGACCGCTTATTTGCACATCAATGGGGTCACGTGACCAAGGGATAGTGGCTTTTAAATTGAGATTTGAATGTTAATAGGCGATTAATGAGTGGTTTTATTCATTGATATTTTTATTTATATCAGATTTTAACCACTTCTTGTCTGATTGTGACCACGGCTGCAGCATAGCAGCCGAAACGTCAAGCCGTGAGTTACTCATATAAAAAATGTCGCGTTGAGATCCGTGTTTCTTTATTTTTATTTACTACATTAATGTTGTTCATTATGGAAAACCTTGGGGGAGGCCTTTGTCCAGCAGTGTACCTAGCAGACGTAATTTGGCTGAAACGACGACGACGAAATCCATGTTGGGGATCTATAGCTGAATTTTTCAGTATTCTATGAACGACTATATGGCGCCCTGAGGTTATTATCGACCTTCTGTACACCCTATTCAAAGACAAATAAATATTTCTATTTCTATTTCTAGAGTAGGTATAATAACAACATTATTAATCAGCTGATTTAGTAAATAGTATATCGGCAACAATCAAATAGCGTGAATACACGTAACGTTCACGTACCGTGAAAAACAATTAAAATAATGTGAAGTTTTTAACAGAAAGAATAATGTTTAACTATAATTGTTACTTAACACATAAATTGAAGTAATATTCACATAATAATAGCAAATGATACACTCATTTATTGTTATTACGTTAATTAATGTATGAGATGCGCGTGCACTTTGTATGGTGGTTTTTTGCACGTCAATCACGTGCTGCGTGCTAATGCTTTGAGTTAGGGGTCTGCAATGGATTTATTAATATAAACTACTTTATATGACCAGAGTGGATTGATTTTATGCACACTGAAATTAATGTTAAAGTGCGAGTTCGTTCGTTTCAGTCGAATGACGTCCACTGCTGGACAAAGGAAAGAGAACGAGTTCAAAATTTCTGCAACCCTTGAAATGAGTTTAAAGTCAGTTAAAATGAATCCGTGGTTTAGTGATTAGAGAGTTAGTCTCTATCGTCCACTCAGAGGTTTTGAATTTGATTGCCAAGTGGGACACATAAAGTGCAAAATCACAATCAATCTGATCAATCGAAAAGAAATGAAAAAACAACATAAAGTCCGAAAAATGCCAAAAATCGAATAAAAAGTCTTTAATTGACAATCAGTATTCCATGTTAACAAAAACTAATCGCTTTGTAATCAGGTTTAACATCATAGCAAATCCCATCCCAAAATACAGCCGCTCCATGACATTCCATTAACAAACGCACGGAACCCTTCAAATTGGCCCCTGCAATACCTAAATGCATACCTAATTGGCATTACAGAGCTGGCCAAGCGTAGTGGCATTCCGATCTGCCTATACGCATCGGTGGCTGAAAATTACCTCTCCTGAAGGAGGGTTGAAATTCGCTTGCAATTATCGCCATGTCGCATTTGAATGTGCGGTTAGTTAAGCTTTTTGTGGCAAGGGAAATTAACCCGAATGTGTTATTATGGGTGTTCTTGATGGATAGAAGGGGTACATAGTTTTGTATACTAATCGATGTTGAGTAAAGCAAAGTAACTCCGTCTGTCTCTTTTTTTCATGCCGAAGCTACTGAACCAATTTTGATTAAAAAATATATTGGACCATGGAAAAAATGGGGTTACATACTGTAGTTTTGTTGTAAAAAATAAACATAAAAAGGAACGTAACAGTTTATACTATGAGGTTTTACGAGTTATGA